GATAAACGTTTCTATATATAAGTAGAAACGGTCCATCAACAATAGGAAACTCTCAAAAAAGCAATCTCTTAGAATCCGTAAACCGCAGAAGTTCTTTGGATAAAGTGTATTTATTCCTAGTTGTACGTTTCTGAAAACTATTCCATTTGTTGGAGTTGGACATTGATATGAAGATCTGGATATGTTATTTTCCTAAATTACGCTGACTTCCATCCTATTTTAAAAGACCTATTCTTGTATATCCTATATACAAGATTATATATATATAGATATCCATGGTGTCATATGACGGCTATGCGTTGTAATTTTAGAGGACTATTTTTTTTTAAACTATTCATAAAATGTTGGATGGAGCTGGTCCTTACAGCTTCAACAAACTATAGGGGTGAGTGCAGATAGCACTCCGAACACGCGCAGGACTTATGGAGCGGCTAAAGGTCAACTCTTGGCTGACGATTACGACTTTAGTCCTAGGGCACCTGGGGTTAGACCCTCGGCTCAGTTCGTCGTAATTTCGATCCCCGTTTGAATTAGATGGAGGACCGATCGAAGGGGTCCAGAAAACTAAAATGTCAGGTTTCTTATCCTGTAATTTCACTGCTTAATCTGCACCGTACAGCAAAAACACAGATTACGAAGTAAGCTGCTTCACGTCTAAAGTAAGTAAGATTAAGGTATCCATGCAGTCCTTGAAGTAGAGCAGCAGTTCTGTTTACTTTATGTCCACAATTGTTGAATTTTATTTTACATTCTCTTTGCGGTGTCGTCGAGTGTCAGAACTGCTTAAAATATAACGTACTACAAATCTTCAAGTTGCAGATGTGAACTGAAAATACTGTCATATGTTATATCGGATGGGATTCAATATGTTTGTTTCACTAAGTTTCTCACTTGGAATTTGAATTCTGAATAAATATGCATTGCCGTGCCGTCGAACATTTCAACGATAAAGCATTGTATATAAACGTTCATTTTCCTCGTATATGCTAATCAATTATATATTTCAGTATCAAACAAGCTATAGCTTGGATTATTCCAAGTAGTCATCATATTCTGACTTTATCGTTAAACGTGAATGAAACGATGGTCAGAAGCCATTAGTCCTCAAATTAATTATCCTTTGCCGTCAATAACTGTAGTACAGATGGTAACTTTGACATTGATTAAAATAAAATTAATTTGGAACTGTTAAGTACATAAATAAATGAAGATACGATAAAAATGTTTATTAAAATTTGTGTCTTTCATTTTAACTCTATGTTATCTGTAGCTACAGATAGCTTTATCATATTTAACTGTGGTTGAAACACGGAAATGGATGCTTATAACCTGGATATGACTAATTTTATGGATTACTGAAGAAAATTATTTCGGACATTCTACTTAAGAAATAACTTGACTGAAACAGTCAAGAATAGCTCGGATATTCTACGAAAGACATGAAACGATTTATATACTGAAGATTAATGTAACTACTGACTAGGCAGTATGGGCAATGCTCTTCGCCTGTTCAAATTGGACGAATTTTAAAACAACAATGAACTGTGGTTGTGATGCACTATTCTGTGCGTTTTATTTAAAATGGTATTACGTTGATTTGTTTCTGTAGTTTTAGTATCAGTTTTGAATATTTTTCCGTTTGCAATTTTATTAAAGAATAATTATATACTTTACAAAAACAATATTATATATATTGGTATCATGTTTCTAAAGAAAAATTTGCTCTCGTGATTTTGAAGAACGTATTGAACTCGAATTTGAGTTTGAAGATACGGTAGTTAAATTGTAGGGTATAGAATAAGAAATGATGACGCAAAACCGCCAGATTAGCATAAATGTGGCCAAATAGGGATATTACCCTATAGTATGATGATAATGTGGATAAATAAATAAAAGACACAATAGATTCGAAGTTTATTTTCAAAATTTTGAAATGTTTATTTATTTGTACTGCTAAGACATTTTATGTAAATTGTAAAACCGCGTACAGAAATTGTGCAACGAAACATGCAATGAAATGCGAAAATTTTGCGTATACAGTTAAGTACATTAAGTACAGTTGTTCAAATGTTTTCCTACAGTCGAGGGTGCTTACTTATATTTTGTAAGGCGGTTAATACATGGAAGACCATGCTCCTTGTAAGGTACCTTATTAATAGTTGAACTTACAACGAACATTGTTTTTTCTTAATATTTTTTGATGGCCTTATGCAGCATGACCTACCATGCTTTAACTACTTTACATATATTCATGTTTTATTACATATATTCATAAATTCATCACGAATGCTCTGTACGTGCCTGGAGAATGTGTAATAATAACACAACAATATTATGTAAACATTATTAATTTGCATGTCTACGTTGCACAATATCAATAAAGCTTACACCACGATTACAGTTGATTTAAATTTTAAACAATTTAAACTTTATTAAATTGTTCAAAACTGAAGGTATACATAAAGCGGATAATATGTATGAATCTTTAAAATTTAAAAGGTTTAACCCTGAGCAGAACCTGATATACGCTCATCACCTAGGCTGTTAAACATTGTACACATATATATACATTTATTTCGTAAAATTACGTCGACACTATTTTTATATTTCAAATAAAAAAAAGATAACATATTCTATTGACGAATACTAGGTATTATGTAAGGAGTAACACAACATTAAGTAGTAAAGACAATATTGTAAAGGAAATAATGAAACTACGTGTAATTAGGAAATGTCATGGGATCTTACCACATTTTTATTTCTATTGAGTTTAAATAGTATATAATCATGTGTAATTTTCGAAGTATTTGAAATTTAAAATTATATAAGTGACCATTCAATATCATTGATATATAATAGTAAAACGATATTATTACCTTGTATAACACTGGACAATTCACACAGCGTCATCTAATTTCAAGCTAAGCAGATAACATGTATATATAATATGCGGTTTAGCTCACCGATTTACATAAATAAATCGGTGTACTAAAGCAACAGAGCACAGAGGCCGTCGAATATACTATTATAATTATTAATATGTAAAATAAGGATACACACATTTGTTTGAAATTATGAATTTATTAAAACCGTACTTACAATATACACTGTAATGTATATACTACACAATCACATTAAAAATTAAATCATAAATATCAAGTAAAACATATTATAGCCAAGATTTTCTTTAAAATCAAATCATTAAATATGAAAATATACAAGCATTTTTATCTTTTATGTACGTCTAAAAGTTTCGCTATTTGATTTACAGAGCAGAGAAGTTCACTATTCTGATTTGATCGCTGTAGACTTTTATCTACAATATAATACATTTACAGTGTGTAAAAGAATTATATAAATTAATAATTCCGATAAAACAGTGGTAGATAATGAGCGATATTAATAATAGGAGTTGGAATAAATGCGTATACATTGATATTCATTGAATAATAATTATTTTATATTAAATTGGTCCCATCTAAGTTCTACTGTATAGTGGACTTATATATATAAAATACTGCTTATATTTATATATTAAGTATAAAAATTAATACTAATAATTATAGATCTGCCAAAAACTAGGCATATAAAGATAATGTTAACTATCGCCTTTCTTTTTAAGTAATAAACATAATTCATTAGTGATTTTTATAAATAAAATTATTGGATATTTTATTGGCGTTTCACAACACAGAGCTTGGAACTATAGTAATTATCTATAGTTATACTAAGTTTATGTTTGGACCACACTATACATTGTCTTTCTACGAGATTTTATAAAGCTTTGTATTGAAATCTCGTAGTACACCATTTTTTTTTATTGAGCGGAGTGCGAAGGTCGGTTGCATCTTAGACTTCAGATTTGCACTCTTTGTAACGATACTCCTCGAAACGGCTTGACAGATTGAGACCAAGATTTCATCGTTAGGCCTTCGGACTTCCATTGATTACAACTAAAAAAAAATCCGATCGGTCGAGTTTTAAGAATAAACGCGCTCCGCTCAACATGTGACCTGGTGTGTAAACAATACACCGGTAACAAATATGGTTAAATAATTAGAAAAGATCACTGAGATATTTTTTCGTATAACAATCGCTGTAACAATTCCTCAAACTCGTAGGAAGTTTAATTTAAAATGCTACAAAATTGAATGTTTGACATTTTATTAAATTTAGAAATGAGTTCGAAAGAGTACGAAGATTTCATATTTAGTAGTGGTCGCCCAGTGGTAGAAATTCGATCATAATTAATTTAACATTCAGTAAGACTATAGACAAAAAATATTAAGGACAAACAATATTAATCTATTCTTAATTTGACCATAGACTTTAACGATAAACAAAATAATTATGCGTGTGTGTACACGGTACATGTGTATTTTATTTTATTGATTTAATGTATAATAATTTAATGCATTATTTTATAAAATATTGTCATTCTACATTCTTCTATATAAACTGCAAGTGTGCGAAATTTCATACTCTTCCATCCGCGCAAATTTAGTAAAAAGGGCTACAAAGTTTTCGCTTCACGTATTAATGTATAAAATATTTAATAAATAAGCGGGTATATGTATACAGGTATATAAATATTAATACTACTTATATTAATTGGACATAATAAACAAAGTACATATAAAGCATTCGAGTTAAGTACTATGTAGGTGTGATATACAATAAAAAATTACTACACATTTATAGAATTGGTCCTCTTCAATTCTATTGTAACATTACAACTTTGTAACATAAAGTTACAATGACTTATGCCTTGTAAAAACAGATAATAAAATGACGTTAAACTTCACGAACATAATGTAGCAACTTGAATGATCCTCTTTTATGAATGCTTTTGTAATAGGATCGATGTTTTTGTAATGTTTGATATTACAATAAAATTGGTTTGGTAACATATATAGGTACTGACGTGAATTAATTATGTTAATGTTTATTTTTATCGCTTTCTATAAATAAACGTTTCTTAAAGGAAATCATATTATTGTTACTTATATGCATTTATTCACTCACTGAGTAAAGTTCATTAACTTCATGAAAGTCAAGGTTGCGTGTAACAGTTGCAGAATTAATATTAGACAAATAAAAAAAAGTGCGGTCCACAAAAGAATTTACTGGACTCTAACACAACCAATTAGGGTTCGGATTGATTTATTATAATAAAACAAAATTAAAGGGCCGACCAATAACTGACTGACTGATGTGACTTGTAGCATATTTTAAGAACCAAAAAATCACGTGCATTTTTAGTAACTACAAATCATCTTAATTTTTTTTGTATATTATCTTTAAATGTAGGTATAAAGTATAATCAAATTTTTTTTACTACAAAACTTAAGGTCACACTATACGCCATTTTTCGGTTTTTGTGCCTTATGTGTTTAATGGACGATCTCTAATATTCATATTGAATATTACACGCTTTCTTTTTTTTGTTTTTTTTTCTAATACAGCTGTACCCGGAAAAGTGGAGACAAAGTTGGAATACAACACAGTGATTGCTTTCCTGTTAAGTAGACTTTTAACTTTAACTTATGCACTCTTAGAAATTAACTCACGATACATAAAGCTGCAATATGTCAATAGAGAAGGGCTGAACTCTACAATTCTCACAAGTGGCCATTCCTGGACGGTTTCCGTTTCATTCGAGACAACTCCTCGGCCTCTTCGATTGTATCAGGCAGCCTCATGTTCCTGGTCTCCGGCAGTAGGAGCACCAATGCACTAGATATGAGGCACATCGCGCCGAATATCACAGTCGGCATAGATTTATGGTAGTAAGACTGCAACAAAAAAATAACAAATTTTAGCTTTTTTTCAGGTAACTCGAATGGTAAACAAGCTGATTATCTGATGGTAAGTGGTAATTGTTGTTTTACATATACAACAATATATGGTTGAGGAGGGGGGTGGACATAGAAATTGAGACGTTATAATTTCGTTCTAATTTAAAAATGAAATACATAACTATTTAAAATATTATTTGTGGTAAATATAGTAGGTACTTAAAATTAATCTTATTAACAAACGCAAGAGTTTGTGAGTAGGGTTGGATGTTTGTTTATTCTTTCACGTAAAAATTACGAAACGGATTTTGATGTAACTTTACAGTAATATATATATGTATGTGCTATATATTAGAGTAGTACATAGGCCATAATTTAAAAATGTGTAATGTAAATTGAACGAAATATACGATATGTCGTGTAAGTGTGATACAGACGAAGTTGCGGATATCAGCTTTATAAGGACCGCGTTTTTCATCATCTTGTACTGTACCCAAAATAGTTCAAAATAAATAAATACTATTGTTATTGAAAATCTTAAAAATATTTTTAACACCATTTGTATAACTCGGTTTATTAGTATACCATGTTTACGGCGTCGGTGGTCTAGCCGGTTAGACATCGCACTGTTCCGATTGTCACGAGTTCCATTCCTCAACAACAAACAACAACTTAGTCCTCAATTTACTATAAACTATAAAAAGTCTGTGAATAATCCGTCCTTCATGCAAATTGAGCTATCATGTGAGTTGTTTGGTACAAAAATGTTGAAATATTATTTTTAGATTTCCACTTCACACTTCGGGGAAAGTTGTTCAGTGTCATTATTAGTATAGCATTATCTTATCTGTGCTTTCATGAATATCCCTGGCTTTTAGCTTGATTTACTTCGTTGACATATGTATATGTATTCTATATAAAATCCTCATCCATCTATCCATCCACGCACAAACTTTCAATATATCTATATTATTAGTAAGATTTTTATTTATTCCTATTTGCATGTCAACCAACCATTTACAATCACCTACAATTGGGGTTCTAAGGGTAACAGATAACCCTAAGAACCCTGTTCTTGCATTGAAAATTGCTTTTAGCAATAAGACCGCCCTGTTGTTTAGTTTACTAATTAATTGTGGCTATATTTTATCATTGTATAATGCAAATGTATAAAGCATATTTTCTATCTATCTGTCGTTACAGGTTACTATGTAATACTTACCCTATCTGGCTATTCCAGATAGGGTAAGTATTATTATTTATAAATAAAAACTGCGTGAGAGAGAGAGAAACCTGTTAAGGAGAAAAGTCACTACTGATGATCTGTACTAAAGAAACTGTACCAGAAAATGTCAATTTTAAAAGTATTACTAAATTAATACATAATTTCAAGAAATTCATACATAAATTCAATATATACAATATAGCCCAAGAGCCCACGACCGCCAGACATACGTCATTTTAATAAACGTGAAAGTTCTTGTATGTGTGTCCCCAACACAGGTAAGAACGATCCCCAAATATGAAACCTGGATCGTGGTTCCTTTGGCAGGTACCAGGTAACAAAGGTGTAAAAAAAATCATATCAAATTCGTTATTTTAAGAAACTCCATATTTTCATATATTGTTCGTAGCACTATTATAACTTGCGCTGCTCATTGCCAGACACGTAGTGTGGTTCCAACCCCCCGCCGGACCCCCCTAAACTATACTATTTTAGAAATAAACTTACGTCATTTTAATAAAGCTGAAATTTATATATATTATTGAGAGTTCTCTCAAACTGAGATTCCTAAATTGCCAGACAGTTTTCTTGGCTCCTTATCCTACCAGACTCATTGAAACCGTATATTGGGTAACAACGGTGTATACAATTTCATATCAAATTCGTTATTTTAAGATGCTCCATTTTTTCACATATTGCTCGTAACAGTATTATAACTTGCTCTGCTCGTTGCCAGACCCTTAGTATGGCTCCAACCCCCGCCGGACCCCCTAAACTATACTATTTTAGAAATAAACTTACGTCATTTTAATAAAGCTGAAATTTATATATATTATTGAGAGTTCTCTCAAACTGAGTTTCCTAAATTGCCAGACAGTTTTCTTGGTTCCTTATCCTACCAGACTCATTGAAACCGTATATTGGGTAACAACGGTGTATACATTTTCATATCAAATTCGTTATTTTAAGATGCTCCATTTTTTCACATATTGCTCGTAACAGTATTATAACTTGCTCTGCTCATTGCCAGACCCTTAGTGTGGTTCCAACCCCCCGCCGGATCCCCCTAAATTATACTATTTTATAAATAAACTTACGTCATTGTAATAAAGCTGAACTTTATATATATTATTGAGAGAACTCTAAACTGAGGTTCCTAAATTGCCAGACAGTTTTCTTGGTTCCTTATCCTACCAGCTCATTGAAACCGTATATTGGGTAACAACGGTGTATACAATTTCATATCAAATTCGTTATTTTAAGATACTCCATTTTTTCACATATTGCTCGTAACAGTATTATAACTTGCTCTGCTCGTTGTCGAACCAAGAAAACTGTCTGGCAATTTAGGAAACTCAGTTTAATAGTTCTCTCAATAACATATATAAAGTTCAGCTTTATTAAAATGACGTAAGTTTATTTATAAATTAGTATCGTTTAGGGGGGTGCGGCGGGGGGTTGGAACCACACTAAGGGTCTGGCAATGAGCAGAGCAAGTTATAATACTGTTACGAGCAATATGTGAAAAAATGGAGTATCTTAAAATAACGAATTTGATATGAAACTTGCGCTATGCCAGACACCGTTGTTACCCAATATACGGGTTCAATGAGTTTGGTAGGATAAGGAACCAAGAAAACTGTCTGGCAATTTAGGAAACTCAGTTTAATAGTTCTCTCAATAATATATATACAGTTCAGCTTTATTAAAATGACGTAAGTTTATTTATAAAATAGTATAGTTTTGGGGGGTCCGGCGGGGGGTTGGAACCACACTAAGGGTCTGGCAATGAGCAGAGCAAGTTATAATACTGTTACGAGCAATATGTGAAAAAATGGAGCATCTTAAAATAACGAATTTGACATGAAATTGTATACACCGTTGTTACCCAATATACGGTTTCAATGAGTCTGGTAGGATAAGGAACCAAGAAAACTGTCTGGCAATTTAGGAAACTCAGTTTGAGAGAACTCTCAATAATATATATAAATTTCAGCTTTATTAAAATGACGTAAGTTTATTTCTAAAATAGTATAGTTTAGGGGGCCCGGCGGGGGGTTGGAACCACACTACGTGTCTGGCAATGAGCAGCGCAAGTTATAATAATGCTACGAACAATATGTAAAAAAATGGAGCATCTTAAAATGACGAATTTGACATGAAATTGTATACACCGTTGTTACCCAATATACGGTTTCAATGATTCTGGTGGAATAAGGAACCAAGAAAACTGTCTGGCAATTTAGGAAACTCAGTTTGAGAGAACTCTCAATAATATATATAAATTTCAGGTTTATTAAAATGACGTAAGTTTATTTATAAAATAGTATAGTTTAGGGGGGTCCGGCGGGGGGTTGGAACCACACTAAGGGTCTGGCAACGAGCAGAGCAAGTTATAATACTGTTACGAGCAATATGTGAAAAAATGGAGCATCTTAAAATAACGAATTTGATATGAAATTGTATACACCGTTGTTACCCAATATACGGTTTCAATGAGTCTGGTAGGATAAGGAACCAAGAAAATTGTCTGGCAATTTAGGAAACTCAGTTTGAGAGAACTCTCAATAATATATATAAATTTCAGCTTTATTAAAATGACGTAAGTTTATTTACAAAATAGTATAGTTTCGGGGGGTCCGGCGGGGGGTTGGAACCACACTAAGGGTCTGGCAATGAGCAGAGCAAGTTATAATACTGTTACGAGCAATATGTGAAAAAATGGAGCATCTTAAAATAACGAATTTGATATGAAATTGTATACACCGTTGTTACCCAATATACGGTTTCAATGAGTCTGGTATGATAAGGAACCAAGAAAACTGTCTGGCAATTTAGGAAACTCAGTTTGAGAGAACTCTCAATAATATATATAAATTTCAGCTTTATTAAAATGACGTAAGTTTATTTCTAAAATAGTATAGTTTAGGGGGGTCCGGCGGGGGGTTGGAACCACACTAAGGGTCTGGCAATGAGCAGAGCAAGTTATAATACTGTTACGAGCAATATGTGAAAAAATGGAGCATCTTAAAATAACGAATTTGATATGAAATTGTATACACCGTTGTTACCCAATATACGGTTTCAATGAGTCTGGTATGATAAGGAACCAAGAAAACTGTCTGGCAATTTAGGAAACTCAGTTTGAGAGAACTCTCAATAATATATATAAATTTCAGCTTTATTAAAATGACGTAAGTTTATTTCTAAAATAGTATAGTTTAGGGGGTCCGGCGGGGGGTTGGAACCACACTACGTGTCTGGCAATGAGCAGCGCAAATTATAATAATGCTACGAACAACATATGAAAATATGGAGTTTCTTAAAATAACGAATTTGATATGAATTTTTTTACACCTTTGTTACCTGGTACCTGCCAAAGGAACCACGATCCAGGTTTCATATTTGGGGATCGTTCTTACCTGTGTTGGGGACACACATACAAGAACTTTCACGTTTACTAAAATGACGTATGTCTGGCAGTCGTGGGCTCTTGCTCTAATACATAATACATAAATTCAAGAAACCGTTTCCACAAAGAATTTGAACCCGCTAAAATAATTAAGCTTAACAAAATTGCGATTTTCCATAAACGCGTATTAAGTGTCTTTGATGATTCCTGACGTTATTAAACGCCATCCGAAAAAATAACGAGACAAAAACTTGGGTCATTAAATTATAGCGTCTTTGCAAAAAGAAACAGATTTTCCCCATTCTAAAGTTCTCATAAGATTAATGATATTTTAATGACGTTTCTAACAGAATTATGTTTCAATTTAATAATTTGTTTTTTTTTTTCTGTTGAATACAGGATTCGACCACAGATTAAATAACTTTACAACCTTGATCACCATCATGGTTATCTGTGACCCATTTCTGTATGAAGTTACTATCGTAAAATATTGTATTTTAATAAATTTATTTGATTTATTGACCTATAAAATATGGTACAAAAGGTGAATTTAATGTTATAGCTATCTCCACCAGTCAAGCCATGGAAAGGCTAGAGACATACGATTGCGACTTGGCTATAAATAAGCATATTATTTACAAAAATAAAGAATTATAATAACGAAATATACGAAATACGTACAATATACGAGTATATATAATATATATGTGTGTGTACATATATATGTGTGTATATATAGGTTACCACTTTCCTCCATCAGTTGAAACTATATAATTTTTTTATATTTGTATCACCAACAATTTTAAAGCGATGTGCTAAACTAGATCACCGAGGCCGTAAATGTACTTTTACGTTTTGCATTAAATGCATTATATTTAAAAAATTTATAAACTTTATTAATATAGTTAAGCGGGTTTTAATCACAAATAATTTTATGGTAAATAGATGTATTTACCTCTCTCAACATTTCGACTAGGTTTCACTAGCCGTGGTCACGACCTGACTAGAGTAACGTTAAATTAATTAACTGTAAATAGAGTAAACAATTATTCGTGTTAAAAGCCGTTTAACTATATAAATAATGTGTACGAAACGAGAAAATTTTAAAATATCAATAAACTTACCAATAAGGGTGTCACTGGGGCCATCAGAGAGCCAATTCTGCCCGCAGTGGAGCAGAAACTGATCAAGGTCTGCCGCATGTTGGTCGGGAACACTTCAGACACGTAGATGTATACAGAGCTGTACGCCAGCGTGACGCTCCACTTGCCAATCAGGTATAGGGGTATGGACCACCAGTCCGCTGTGCACAGCAAACGGAATCTGTTTAGAAAAATCGTCTCAAGTTTGTATGCGCCTAGTGGCTACACGAAAACGATATACGTGACAATACAATTAAATTAATTATACGCGTGTGCAGGCTACGAAATAAACAACAAAAATTGCAATTAAATGCCATTGGGCCATTTATAAAGACTTGTGGTCGAAATTTGACCATAATAAATTTAAGATACAGTAAGACTATAGACAAATCATATTAAAGACAAACAATATTAATCTATTCCCAATTTGATAACTTACTTTAACAATAAACAAAAGAGTATATATGCGCGTGTGTATCAAAGACATGGTAGTGTGTATAAAGTATTTTTCTGCATAATTAAAAAAAAATATTCGCAATCTGCACTCCTTCTATCTCACTACGATATCACATCTCTCCTTTCATACAAACTATAAGTGTGCGAAATTTCATATTCCTCTGTCCGCGCAAGTTTGTATTTGTAGTGCCTACACGAAAACGAAATACAATGTGACAATACAATTAAATTAATTATACGCGTGTTTACACTACGAAAAGAAAAACAAAAATTGCAATGAAATGGTATTGAGACATTTATATTATATTATATAGATTAGTGGTCGAAATTCGACTATAATTAATTTAACATCCAGTAAGACTATAAATAAACAATATTCTGAATTTGACCACAGACTTTAACAATAAACAAAAGATATAGGCGTGTGTGTAATTATTAGTAAGTGTGCGAAATTTTATAAGCTTTTGCTTCACATATTAGTATGATATTCTTCCATTTTGTTATTAAATGTGGATTTTAATTGACAACGCATTTGATTACCCCATTTGTAATTACAGCCACTGTATGTATATATGTAGATGTATTTGTATATGTATATAAAAATTACACAACGGAAGATTTCTTCAAATATGATTTGATATGGCGTTTATGAGAGGATGTCGACATTTTTTTAATTACAACATTAAAATATTATGATTATTAAGCAATGCTATGTAGGGCAAGGCTTTGTTTATGTCACAGTAAAAAAAGTAATTAAATAATTTAAATTTTTCATTCGCATATATTTGATAGATATAGGATACTTGTTATAATCACTAGCTGACTCGTCATATGTTGTTTTGCCCTATAAGTTTATATATAGGTGTATATGTTAAATAAATCTATTTATTTAGGTTTACAATTAAATCTATTTATAAAATAAGAAATAGTAAATAGCGTAGGCAATTCATTTACACTCCTAAACACAGGTTAATGAATAACCTGTGTTTAGAAGTGTAAATAAAAATCATGTAGGACATTTTAGACGTTTATGAACGTCAAGTTAAAACATATTATCCTTTCCTTATTATAATTAAATCCTCATATATTTGAATAGAATTCTGATTTATTTCATGGTTTTACCCTAAAAGCGATTACAAGGAAAACATTAAAACATATTACAAGTATGTATCGTGGGTGTTAAATTGATTCAAAAGGTAATTAATTTTATTTGCGACATTTTTAGTATTAACTCTTTATGTAAGTTGCAGAATTTGATGATTTAAACGCTATGTAGGAATTGTCGTCGAAATTAATAGGTTAATTATGTTACTGTGTATTTATTCTATTTCCTTAATAAGTAAAAAACACTTTTGTATGTAATTATTAATATAGTTAAAAATGGTTCCAACATAAATAATTTTATGGTTAACCCGTTTCTTACTTTTTTATCCAACTTTTTTACAAGCATAGACTAATTTCTCGTTACAGACTACCGTTTAGAAATTGTTTTTCATAGATTGAGTCAGAATAATTAAGATTTATTTTAAATTCATTTTTTTACCCTAATATTATTAATTTTTAATTAAAATAATTAGTTTATATAACTACTTATTTCTTTTATTTTATACTTATTTTTTTACTTAAAGATTTAGTCAATTGTCATATATATATATACATATATATGACTACTGACAATGACACACATTTACTAAAAATTGTACACATTGCATTTTTTTTTAATTCACACTAAGCCATGTCGTCCTACGCTAAGCAGAGCTTAGTTATGGCTATATATTTATTGTAAATACTTATATAATATAAGTAGAACACCCAGACTACATCTACATACTCTGTGCAAGAAAAAAAATCAAACCCGGGACCATAGGAAAGAAGGAGGTGAGCTAAATCGCTAGATTACCGAGATCTTATACAAGTAGGATAATTTGTCCAATTAGTGAAGGTGACTTCGTGACTCATAATGATGAATAAATGTCATTTTGTTTACTTTGAAGAGGATGACATTAAAATTACATACAAACATAATAGAGCTGTCTATTATTAGACTAAACAATAAACCGGATACTAATTTTGAATTCTAATAATGTGGGGCAAGGTTGAATTTAATGACATCCACGTATAATTATGGTAAACAGCGTACGGTACCGGCGCGTTAAGTTGAGGCGTATGTACTTGTGTGCATTCTTTTTATATTCGTCATAGCACAGGTCATAGTGTATTACAATGCCTTACTTATTTTTAAGCTACTGCTACAAAGAGGGCCATTATTCAACTATATTTATTTAGCGTTGTATGCATGAGCAGTAACTCATGTATTGCCATTCCGGAGAATTAATATGGTATGCCTGCGTTTGGTTTATGTGTATAGTGCAATATCAGTAATCTCCTAAAGTATAATATTAAAGTTTTAACAAACGATAGTACGTTATCTCTATTAATTGCAATCGCTATAGTTTCTATATACTATAATTATTATATTTATGTCTTTATGGTGTTAAATCCGTCATATGCACTTTTATTTTTGTATTTGTGCATTAAAGTTTTAATATATAAATTAGGCAGTTGAATATAATTTATTGAGCTTCTTACATATTTACCCGAATATCCATTTTTTAAAATCTGCTTACGTAATACTTTAACGGGCCCATACAGGTAATATTAGGGACTATTTATTTCCGGCCGAGTTTTCTCGAACAAGCGGACGAACACGCGGGAAAAATGTAGTAATATAATAAATGAACAATTTTATCATAATGTCAACTGCCACTGAACTCAATGGAATGACCTGCTTTATTGGTTCCAGCACTAATTAATTAAATGTTTTAATACAATCAGACAATTATTAATTTAATTTTATATCAATTATTGGTGTACAGTTAGTGAAATTCTGTTGATGCATTCAGATTGGTTATATCAGTAATGCTATTTTAGATACGGTCCGTCGGAACAGGTCATCTCAAAATCAAGAGGTTATCTGTATGTATTAATAAAACTTTTTAATTTTCTAGAATACTTTTCCTGAGAACAAGCAATGGGTAAATTTGAAAAGCACTTTAAATAAAATTTTTGTATATCTCATATTAATATGATAAACGCGAAAGATTATGAGTATGGATGATGTTTGTTACTCTTCCACGCAAAAACTACTGAACGGATTTTGATGAAACTGTGCAGTAATATAGCTTATACATCAGTAATAAGTAAATTATGCTTAGATGACTTTACACTAATAACTTCGAAGTCTAATTATTACTATTTCACAAGTTTCTTGCTCGTTCTTCTTGTGATGAATCTGCGTTCCAAATGAGTAGTAGAATAAAAAATATGGCTCTTTAAAAGTGCTTGTATTAAGTTTATTTGAATAAAGTTTATTTCTATTAATCAACATATTGTTTTTAACGCTCTGTCCAATACATGTGGTATCAAAACTTAGAAGTTTAAACAATAAATAATTAAAATAAAGTATTTCTCGTCTTTGTTCTTATTTTCCTACAGTGCTTTCGTTACAAGATAACTTCGTCATTTCTGATTAATTTTCTTTAGGTGATATCATATAGTCAACGACACTCGTGATAAGAATATGAATTATTATTATTATTATTTATCTTTGATAACATTAAGAATCATTTGATGGCTCATTTATCAAAATCTGTCAAGCTGTTTGGATTAGCGGCTATAGAAAGTAGATTAATAAAATGAATTAACCAATTACTTTAAATGAGCAATTCGTGTGAATATTGATTTATTGTATCTCGGAAACGTCTCTAATGATTTGGTTTAAACTTTGTGCATAGGTAACTATTGGGTTTTTAAATACATTTATATAAAAATACACATAAGGTGCAGATATACAAAATTTTAATTGCTCCCTGTTTCTTGGATTATTAAACATAACATATTGGTATTGACAGCGAGTCAAGAGCGATTTAAATATCTGTTGCAAAAAAAATACATTTAAAAAAATAACAAACGCAGCTTTGTCGCCCAAGTACATTTTAACTTTTTTCTTTGTTTTTCCTTACAGTCATAATTTTAAGAGTCAATAAAGTTTGATAAAATATAAATAAAATAAAAACAATTAAGCAAATTTTGACAAAGACATAATAGCAATTAAATATAGTTAGAGGATTAATCTATAATAATGTTTGGAAGAGGAAAATTACTGTAATAATAATAATAAATTATTAAAAGTTTATAGATCGTACATTGGATGTATTTAGTGCAGACACCGCGGAATGTTCGAGAATAAGTGTAAGTATACATATTCATAAAAGAAACAAAACAATACCGATATTACGCATGATATTTTATTAACGTTCCATTTTCAAATTGCTTATTTTTATTTTTAAATACATTATAAGGATAGTCACAGTTTTTTAATCTACTGCTCATTCGGAAAGCTGTCTCATTACAACAAAATCTTAAAAATTTGCTAACGCAAATAAATAGGTTTTGGTAAATACAAATATAAAGGTAAATACATATAATAAAAGTGTTATCTGTGTACAAATAGCTGATTGAGACTCAATGACTTTGGCCCACATTTTTTTGTAACACAAGCACCTTATATGTAAAGATAAGCGGCGTATTTCTTAAATTATACCTACAGCTAGTGATGCCCGGGATATAGTATGTGTATACATTTGTAGATATCTATCTGTTGATGATGATTAAATATAAATAATAAACACAATATATATCGACGTCATCTAACATTTGCTTAATTAATTAATTACAATAATAATAATGATTACCATGGATATTGCACACAGCGCCATCTAGTCCTAAGCTAAAGCAGAGCTTGTGTTATGAACACTAGACATGTGATGTAAATACTATTTTTTTTGTAAATACATACATAATATACATAGAAAACACCCAGACCAATGCAAATAATTATACTAATTAATACAAGTGTTTGCATCGTGTAAATAATTGAACTCACTACCTTTGAAAATAAGGCGGCGTGTAGGACCACTAGAACAACGAGACCGTCAATTAACAAAACTGTAGGTGGCATATTGAAACTATTCATAAAATTAATTACTTTTCCCTTTGTATGTGTTTCTCTCAGCTTTCTATAGTCAATATTGATTCATAATTAACATCATATGATGTGACAAACATTCTAATGCCTACAACGTTTCTACATATAACTCTTTCTTTTTTTCTTCTCGCTTCGTCCTGATGTTACGATGTTCTTAAATCTGTACCAATATCCATACTAATATTATAAAGCTGAAGAGTTTGTTTGAACGCGCTAATATCAGGAACTTGTGGTGCGAATTATTTTTGTGTCGGATAGTCCATTTGTCGAGGAAGACTTTAAGCTATATAACATTAAACTACGACCAATAGGAGCGGAACTGCAATAAATATTGCAAAAGGTGGAGAAAACGAAAGGTGGAGAAAAGAGAACGAACGCAGACGAAGTTGCGCTGATCAGCTAGTTAAAAATAAAGAGGTAAATTTGTGAGTAAATTGTTTTACAGAAGTCACGTAGCTTAATTTGTGAGTCAGTAATCATAGGCTATATAACATCACGGTACGACCAATAGGAGCGGAGCAGCAATGAGACATGTTGTAAAAACGGACAAAATGTGACGACGAAGTTGCGTAGTAGAAAGATAAAGCGAGTGTAAATATTACGATGTTGCCACATCTATCACTATTTTATAATTGAATATAATAATGATTGCCATCATTTACGTGAAATTATGTAAGCTACGCCAACGTACTTATGGTGTTTATGTTACAACAAAAAAGGTAAATACAGGAACTTGTAAATTATTTTTATTACAGGTGTTGGGATTCATTTTAAAAATTCAGGGTCGTATAATAAGGTTGTCCATATAGAAATATTAATAATAGTATATGATCGCTGCTTTTTGTACTGTTACTGTATTCTATACTATAATACGTGTATTGTAACATAACATAATTGACTGTGTTCAAAATAATTAACCGCAAAAAATATTACTTATGATTAAATAAAAAGATTACTAGATTGGATTCAATTTTTAAATTATTAAACAATATATATACATATAATAAGAAATGTAAAAGAAATAACTGTCTCACTCTATTTTATTCATGCCATTAGGCGCCATTCGCACCATGTTACAATGCGCGGAGTATAATATATTGAAGGAAGTAAATTCAGTTTTATTTAATGGTACAATTCTACTACTATATTATGGTTTTATATGAACACGCACATAATATAGTCTGCACCTATTTTAGCTTTCGTAATCGTCCTATACAAAAACAATTATTTAGTGAAAAAGTTGTATGTAAAAATATGAATTTTCTGTAATTTTACGGACCGTGGGCGTAATTATTAGTTACATACATATAATATATACGGGCATAATGATCCGTAACTTTTATTAAACTCAAAAATATTCGTGACCAAACATTCATTTTATTCATTATTTTAACTAATGCATTATAGTATGCAATACAGTAATGCATTATAGTGCTAGTAGGTAGTTTGTATTCACACATTAAAACTTAAAAATGTAAAGTTACAACTGAATTATTTAAAAGAACAATACGCAATTTTCTTACTCGGTCTTTTTGTGATGAGACAGCTTATTAAACGAGTAGTAGATTAAAAAATAAGTAATGATCATTCACAATCGAATATTCTTTATTCAAATAAACTTACATTTAAGTATGTTTATTTGAATAAAGAATATTCGGTTCTATGTAAGTTTATTTGAATAAAGTATAATAAATATTTTTTAAAATATTAAATATAACACTACTTTTTCATTTACTTTTGTTTATGTTTAAAAAAGGTAAATTTTTTATACGTGTTTACAACATTCGAGGATTATCACTGGCCGCTTGTTATCTGTCACTGCGTTGGGTTGAGGTAGATATCCTTCAGAGATAAATCCACATTTGCTCACGTTAATCATCAAACATCATAATGCAATAAAGGTTCAATATAATCATATGACGAACCTCTTTGTTGATATTAAATGCAAACGCATCATAAACCGATTTCAGTTATAGAAGTGCTTTGTCGTTTACTTATTAAAAAAAAAAACAGAAGATTCATACAAATTTCAGTTTGAAGTATTAAATATTTAACTATGTTTAAGATTTCAAGACATTATGTGATTAACTGAGCCCACGACTTTGTTCCCTTATAACTTTTTTGTGTGAATCTTACCATGGATTCTTTAGTGAAAACCGCATCCAAATCGATTAAGCCGTTTTTCAGATTAGCGCGCACAACAGTCAAAAATTCTAAGAACAATTTTTTTACGTTCTATTAAGTTGATAAAGTGTATCAATATTAGTTCTCATATATCTTCCATGTCAGCGGTCAGTCATTTTAGACTAACTGTTACCCGCGTCGATGTTTTTTTTTTATTAAATATATAACTTTCTGAAATGAACCTAAGATACTCCTTATAACATTAGCGATCTGCAACTGAAAATCCTGTCTAAATCGGTCCAGCCATTTGAAATTAGCAAAAACAAACAGACATACAAACATTTTTTAATTTATTAAATTATGTAAGTACCGTATATACTTTCATATGCATTTAGTGACGCTATTAATTTGAAATTACAAACGCTTTAATTTAATTAGAGAAGGTAATACTTACATCTTGGTAAGAATGCGAACAGCAAACTCGTCAGCGCACACGTCAAGTAAGTGGCCACTAACGTCTTCTTCCTTCCGTATTTATCCAGCACGATAACCACCACAATGTACGCTGGTATCTCCACCAGCACCACAAGCATAAAGCTCACGTATCTATGACTGCTCAAAGACACGGAATTTATCGACAGTCCATAATAAACTAGAGAGCATGTCAACCAAAGGAATGAACATATCAGCAACCTCTTCCAAATTATACTCGAACGCAACGCTTTCGAGAACTGCGACTTTTTGTCTTCCGTCTGATTCTTCGGCTTCAACAATGGATCGCCCAATGCTTCTAACTCCAGGTTCCGTTCATCAAGATTGTTAATTTTTGCTGCTCTTTTTAATACTCTTATAGCTTCATCTCTCCTGCCTTTGCTTAATAACCATCTGGCGCTTTCGTTCGTGAACCATATGTATATGACAACGATGATCGCAGGACAATATAGAATTAGGATGTATGTCCGCCAGTTGTCCACGACCCATGCAAGTAAGGCTATTAATACAACACCAATGACGAAAGTCATGTTGCACATGGCGGAGACTATGACGCGCTGTTTCAGCCCAACTAATTCGACAACTGAAAAAGGAAATCTTATTTAATACTAGCTATACGGACGAAGTCACGGACTTCGTCCGCGTGGAATTTTACTTTATTTTTCTAAAATAAAAGTAGCCTATGTTACTCCTTATTACATCAGCTACCTGCCAATAAAAGTCCCATCAAAATCGGTCTAGCCATTTCAGAGATTAGCCGGAACAAACAGACAGACTGACAAAAATTGTAACAAATGTTATTATGGTATATGTACCGTATTTATATTCATATTCATGTGGAGAATACAGTTATTTCAATATTACAAACAGACACTCCAATTTTATTTATATGTATAGATGTATAGATTTCTTTATATTTTAAAATAACTTTATTAATGTCATTTATTTAAGTAGAATCTGTATAATCAAAATAAAAAGTATCTTTATTTAATCTACCGTCAGTTCGGAGCGCTTTCGAGCTGCGAGGAACTGACAAGAAACTCACCAGACCATTGGAAGTAAGGCGGTGTGCTAAAACGCTAAAACATCGAGCTCGTCAAATTACACACGAAAGCATAAAAATTACTATTCAAACATTATTTCTTGGCAAAAGTACAGTTCAGTCAATGAATATTACTGACTTTATGATTAATTCTTAAATAAGTACTCTATAGTACGTAGGTACAAATGCGATGAAGGCAATATTTGTACACATATACTAATTTTATATTCTGTTTTTAAACGCAATTTTATGACTAGTATAATAATAATAAGATTGAGGTAGGTATGCTCTGTTGACGTTAGACAATACACACTGTATGCGGGGGAAGGGAATTGTTAGTAATGTGACTGATAACCCCATTGCTAGCAATATACAATGTCGGGTTTACCTCCACGCGGTTCCCCCCGGAAACCATCGGGATAAATTTCTGGTGAATTGGGATTGGGATAACTGACCTGACCTCATGCTCATGTTATCATCCTCCACTTGTGCCCCGCCACCGTAAACCGTTAGCGCAGGCGGGTGCACCAATCCATTATCATTCATAAAAAAAATACACACTATATGGGGGAAGTGAATTGTCAGTAATGTGAACTGATGACTCCATTGCTAGCAATATAAGATGTCAGGTTAATATCCACGCTTTTCGTTCTCTCTGGAAACTATCACGATTAATTCCTGGTGAATTTACCACGTTGGACTAACTGACCTGACCTCATGTTCATCCTATCATCCTCCACTGGTGCTCCGCCAGCGAAAACCGTTAGCGCAGGCGGGTGAATCATATCATTATCATCCATATAAATATACACACTATATGACTATAATTAGCATAAGTCAGTAAAGTGATTTATCATATAGTGTTCTTGTTTTCTAAACGAGTCGCGTAGGTATCTATTTCTTATTTATCAATGTTTTAACTTATATGTTACGTTTATTTTTATATTTCATTTATTTTATTTATAGACTACACAATGGCTTGATGTTAAAATCATGTATGTATATAAAAAAGTGCTTTTTTAACAGAAATCCAATCGAGTTTTTTGCAGTTTTCCTAAATTACTATAACCAGAATTTTATAAGATAGAAATAGTAAAACAAAAAAGTTTCAAATTATCATAAATGCTCTAGCTATTGTTAAAAACTGTGTTAAAATCCGTTGCTTACTTTAATAAGTCTAAGTAAATACAGCGGAGGCGACATCATTTTATATTATGTAGAGATACAAGATTTATACTTACTAAAAACATATGCGGAAGGGTACAGTCCACCACCCAAGCCAGCCTCTAAGAAATGTAACGCCACATAACTTAAATAATTCGGTGCAAATGCTCTGGAAAAACCAAATATCAAGCTGGCACATGACGCGAAACCCACTGCCACTTTCCGTCCAAATCTATCTGAGATAGCGCCAGTGAACAGCATGGCTAAGAACATTCCAGAATTGTGTATAGTCCCAACCAATGCTCTCTTCCATTCTTGACAACCCAAATTGAACTGTAAAAGAATGATACCTTTAGATTGTTATTTAGTTGCACTTCAAACCATACATAAAAAAAAAAACAAAAACGGTTGCCAGTAAGATTAATATATTATTTCAGTAGTATTTATTTTTAATTTTAGTACATTAATAAGGGAAATTCTACTATATTTTCAAACATATTAAATTAGACAGTTACCTAATTGTCTCAGTTACACTATGTAATTTACAAAATGACCCGTCATTTGTAGGAATCGGTTCAGCTATTAGTTCTTTGCGGTGGAATGGTACCACGTGCGCTCGCAAAACATTACCCTACTTTACAGAAGTTGGACATTTATAATTATATTCTCGTAGTTATAAAATGCACCCAGAATAATTATTCCGGATGCCCTTTTTTGCTTTTCGGATAAGGTTGATTCCATTATTTAAACAGTCCTTAGAAATATAAGTTAATTTTTTCTTACAAAAAAATCTGATAATTTAATTTTACAAAATTAACTAAAAATTTTTTTTCCTTTAATTTATTTTTGCTCCGTTTTATACGCAACGTATTTTTTTCTATTCTAATACTGTGGTACGGCCATTTCTGGCCTTATTAATTTATGCGATATGTTTTATAACATATATAATAAAAATAAGATGTAAGAATTATTAATTATGTATTCTTATTATATATAAATAAACATATAATAATTATTTTTATTATATATAAATAATTATGATTTAAGAAGAAGTAATTTATTATATTGGGCATCTGAAATTTATCGTTATCATTTATTATTGATGAAATGTATTATCATATTTAATCAATGATAAATGATTTCAACATTTGTTGCATATAAGGACGATAAGATAAATACGTGCTTATCTATATCACCGATACTATAATTAATATATATATATATATATAGTTTAATGTATATAATACAATTAGAAATAATATCTCTTCATATTCATTCAATATATTATAGGTGCAGTAGAAATATTTTAATATCTCGGCTTGTTCTATAGTATAACACATATGTATAATACATAAACCTTCCTCTTGAATCACTCTATTTATTGCTGAAAACTGCATTAAAATCCGTTACGTAATTTATAAGATAGAAACGAACAGACAGCGACAGCGACTTTGTTTTATATTATGTAAAGATAGTTTATTTAAATATAGGATAAAAAATTTATTTAACTTTATCTAAACAAAAACATAATACAAATATTAATTTGTCAACTGTCAAATTTTATACTACAACAGTGGCAATCAAGCATACGGCTCATCTGATGGTAAATGGTTACCGTAGCCTATGGACACCTGAAACTTCAGAGGCGTTACGTACGCGTTGTTTTATGAAACCTTAATAAACACCCATCTATACTCACAAACTTTCGCGTTTGAAATATCAACTAACTACGCGCTCCAGCTTCGCCCGGGTGTACATGTATTATACATATACCTTCCTCTTGAATCACTCTATCTATTAAAACAAACCGCTTCAAAATCCGTTGCGTAGTTTTTTGCATACATAGGGACGGACAGACAGCGACAGCGACTTTGTTTTCTGCTATGTACTGATGATAAGATATAGCTTGTATTTTATATTGAGCGAAATATGTTTAATTTAAATAAGTTGTCAAACAAACCTCTTTTACAAACGAGCGCCCTTCTTCGTACACGAATGTTTCACAAGGCAGTGTTTTATTTGTGGAGAAATCTTCAGGTAGACACTGCATACTGGTGTTACTGACCGGAGCAAATCTTAGGCAGCTCTCCAGCTTATTATTCTTAACGTCTGTAGGTATGGCGTATTGTATCCAAGACGTGTCATTGAACCTCTGTTCACAACCGTATACTTCACACCTAAAAGAATATAAAAACATTACAATAGCGAAATGACGGCCTCGGTGGTCTAGCGGTATAGCACACCACCTTAGTTCCAATGGTCGCGGGTTCGAATCCTCGTACGTCACAAATATTTGTATTCATGAGTATGATTGTTTGTATCGATCTGGATGTTTTCATTGTATGTATTTACGAAAAAAAATAACGATAATATATAATAGACATACAGTCTAGTAGTTATCTAGTACCCATAATATAAGATTTAGCTAGCTTAACTTGGGTCTAGATGGCGATGTGTGAATAGCGGGAAATAGCCTTGTGGCTTAGTGGTTTATGACCCCGATTTATTTAATCAAGATCGTGAGTACAAATTTGACTCACAATTTTTTCTATATATCTAATTTTATGACTAAAGCTCCAGTGATGAAAACTTTAGTAATAAACCGAAATTGACCCCTAGGCACATTTGAACTCAGCCACAATGAACTTGACAGTCTCTGATCACCCTATCTAGGTATAAAGTCGTAGAGATATATTATTTGTAAATTCTTATGTGATATAATAATAACAACCCTGGAGATTTTGCGAATATAGTAAAGAAAAAATTATTAGTTCTTTCTATATTTCAAATGTATTTAAAATTTTGTCTGTATTGAAAAGATACCATAATAGATAACATAATACCAGTAGTAAATTAAATCTATACTTATCTACAGACTATAATAATCCTAAAGGTCGAACAGTCTGTATAGTTTTTGCAAAGATTAACTACAGTATCTATAAAAAGTTAATTTAAAATAAAGTAATTACAAACTAATTAAAATACCAAATCCTTTAGCACTAAGCAAACTACCATTTCTTCATTCTGCGAATACGAAATACTATAATATAGATATTGACATCATTGCTAGCAATTTGCCATATTAATTCGACCACCACGCGGTTACCTCTAGACCCACCGTGATTAATTCCCGGTGAATTCGTCACGCTAGGCTGAGCTAACTTCATGGTTATCATATAATCCTTCACTGGTGCTCCGCCAGCGTGTACGGTTAGGACTGGTACATAATTCCATTATCAATTACTAGCTGCGTCCGCGGTGTTACCCGCAACAAATGTATAGCCTAAGTGTTATACATATTATTGTAAAGTTTAATTAAGTTGCGCGAAAGAGTAATAAACTTTCATCCATATATACTCATTTCTGCGTTTATAATAAGAAAAAGAAATTTATTTCTAGCATTAAAATTACATTAAAAAAATATTATTACGATATTTAATTGAAGGCAAAAGGACCCGGTTCAGCGTATGCGTTCATGCAACATAGGCGTTGGTTTTCAACCAGACTCTTCTACCGGTGATAGGAAAATATATAAAAAATATATTAGTAAAATAAGAAAGTTATGAAAAAAAAATCACTCACCTGTACATTTGCTCCTGAGCTTCAAAAATGAACCCGCACTCAAAGAAGCTACTGAGCAGTATTGGATACAGTAATAGTACGAAATTTAATAAGTTATACCGTCCATAAGGCCCAAGGCTTTCTAGTACGGAATCTAGGTTGATTTCTTTCTTTCCTTCCTCCATGTTTAACAAACTAGATGCAATTGATTTTCTGCTCTCGTCAAACTTCGATCAACTTGTGACCTGCAATAGATTGTAACTTATAATAATAATATATTTATTTATTTCGACGACCTCGATGGTCTAGCGGTTTAGCACACCGCTTTCCTAACGATGGTCGCGGCTTCATTCCTCTCAAGGCACAAAAATTTGTATTCATGAGTACGATTGTTTGTATCAGTCTGGACGCTTTCTATGTATATTGTGTATGTATTTACAAGAAATATCTATATATTTATTTCAGTTGTCTAGTACCCATAATACAAGCTCTGCTTACCGTGGACTAGATAGCGCTGTGTTAATTGTCCAGGGTTATTTATTTATTGTCAGAACAATAGACACATACATATACATTTGAATTCGTACAAAGTTTACTTTAAAAAAAAACTTAACTTTGTATAGTGCTTCATTAAAGGAAACGTTAGGCAAGAACCATCGAGAGTTTAAGTAAGTAAGTAAGTATAGTTACGGTGATATATTTAACTTAAAAGTTCAACACATTAAAATGATAATATTATTGTTAAATGTTGTTGGATGTTTCAATGTTTCAATACTTAATACCATAATTAATTTAACATTCACAATATTAAAGACCAACATTATTAATCAACTAGCTGTGCCCACGGTTTCACCCGCAGGAAATTTTTAGTCTGTGATCAAATTGAAAATCTTACTTATATTATAAACGCGAAAGTTTTTTGAATATGAACGAATAGATGTATAGATGTTTGTTACTCTTTCAGGCTGAAACTACTGAACAGATTTCGATGAAACCTTACAGGAATATAGCTTATACATCAGAATAACACATAGGCTATAGATTTCATATAGTTAAAACCTTGGGCTCAGCTGGTATAAAATAAATTATCAACACAAGTAATAACTAGTAGTACTGTGGTACATACTCGTACTTGAAATGAAAATTGTCACACGGTTGCATAAAATGAAGCGGTGCCGTGGAATATTATCGCTTTGTTTATCGAAGTTAGGTCAAGTACGAGTAGCTTCATTTGTTAATCAATTTCGAACCATTACTTCAGGTAGACCGTGCCTCTTGCGGCAATTACTGACCCAGTTGGGTTGTAGATAGCATAACATACATAGAATATTTCTGCATCAAGTTTTGTTTGTTTATAACACTTTATATAATAGTAAAGCCACATAGATACCATAGGCTACGGGTAAAAGTTTATTTATTTTATTTATTTAAACTATATTTATTTATTGCACCAGATCAGAAAATAATTAAAAATAATAAGTTTACATAAACTGATACAAAAGGCGCTATGTTATCGTTTCCAAAGGCAGTCTCAATTAAAAAATGAACTTTAAAAACTATAGTTTCCGTAAATAAAGAGATAAATGGTATCCCTACCTGTAGGTGATCTTGGGTGACGATAGATACGTTTATGGTGCAGTAAATAAGTGTAAGTAATAACTTACACTTATTTTGTAAGTAATAACTTATACTTATTTACTGCACCATAAATTATAATATTACAAGAAGGAAAACGAAGCCATTAAAACTAAAATTTAACTAAAACTACTTTTCTAATTATTAATATGAAATTCATAATTAGAAAAGTAGTTTTTGTTCGCGATCTAAGTATCCTTTTTTATATAATTGAAATGGTAAATACGCGGACTGTCCATTTGATGGTAAGACGTAACCGTCTCCTATACCATGGTGAATTTACCACGATGGGCTAACTGATCTGGCCTCATTCTCATATTATCATCCAACACTAGTGCCCCGCGAGCGTAAACTGTTTAGCAAAGAGAGGTGCACCATTGGATTAACATCCATAAGGATCCGTCTCTTATATTCATGAACAGCACTACGGACATCACGCTATCATGTGATGCCTATAACATCCCGCAAGACAAGATATCATGCCTCTTATTCCGTAATATTGTTGTAATTTTGTAATAGTGTAATTTTGAGCCTTATATCCTTCAACCGAAATACAACTACCTAAGCCAGCAAATCATTTTTTACAAAGTCTAACTTGATAGAGAGGAGTAGAAACTAATAATCTTTACATAGTATAAAATGAAGCCGCTTACGCTGTCTTTTTGATTAGATCTTTTAAACTACGCAGCGGATTTTATTGCAGTTTTTAACAATAGATAGAGTGAGTCAAGACGGAGGTTTCTATATACAATACACGTACACCAGTGCGAAGCCGGGTAGTTAATAATATTATAAACACCAAGAAAGTTTGTGTGGATAATTGGAGGAATATTCGTCTCGTACTCTTTTAGCATAAAACTACTCAACGGATCTTAATGAAATTGGTACAAATATAGATCATAGCCTATACTGCCCGAGTATCCTGGGCAGATCCACAGGGCACAATTAGTTAACTGTAATAGAAATATAAAGTACTCCACGTGTCTTTTTTAACGTCCAGAGGCGTGTCAGTAAAAGCTGAGTCATGCAGTTATTTGCTGTTAGCGAGAAAACTGGAGTACATGAATATTAGACTTTAATAGCAAAGAAATAAGATTCATTAGTGTTCAGTCCAGTCCATAATTTTTTTTGTGGCCAAAAGAACATCCGACGCTGACGTGCGTCCACGTCACCTCGTATGTTCTGATTATCACAGAGACCGCGTGAGACAGAAACTTATATTATCTTAGACATGTTTTATCAATCGAAGTTCCTGTTACGATTTTTTTTTTATTTATATTATCTCAATTATTTATGCCTCGATAATGACGAGTTGATTTCGAATACTGAGCGAAATGTAGCCATGTTAAGCGTTCGCCAGAACATCGGCTGGTGACAATTTCTGTCTACCATATCTGGGATATGAGTCTTAATATGTATATATATTTTAAAATAAATGCTCATAAGAGCATTTCTTTAAAGACATAATGTGCGGTACCCGTTTAATAACAGAAACGATTTGTATTAATTTACTAATTCATTAATAGAAATCGCTAATATAATATTAACGATATTGGTGGTTCTGCGGAGAAACACAATGTCTTTCTTATGATATGATTGTGGGTTCGATTTCCGCATAATATTTTTATTTTTATTGTTAGAAAGTAAAGATTATCGAAGTGTGATGTTTTATGGTCAAGAAACAGCAATTTCTTAATTTTGCAGCCGTCTGATAATTTTTGATTTAGCAATGGATTGAAAATAATGCAAATCGAATTTGAATTAAACATTTGGAATTTCCGTTTTCTAAACTCGGTTGAAACATTCACATAAACAAACTTCTAAGTATAAAGATATTCATGAGTACATGTCAATAGAACATCAAGTATTTAGTAATGGAAATGTTAAATATTTACATATATCTTATAATGACTAACCGACAGACTATGTCTAAAATGGATATCCAAACATACTGTAACATGTAACATTGTTCGTAAACTAAATCAGATATAAAAAAAAACCTATCACAACTGACAATAATCCGATATCTATATCTGTCTTTTGTTGAAGTACAATAGATACACCTTTTATATAGAAATAATCTTGTTGTACAAGTTGTAAAACTGTAATAAATAATACGTTTTCTGACCACTATCTCATAAAAGTTGGTTTTACGAACAATGCGCTATGGGCATTGTATAAAGTTTTATACATTCAGCTCACGAGACGAGTCCTCCAAACGACATTAGTTATTTTATATTTTACAACTGTATTATTCCGTTTACACAAAACCAAGAACAATGTAAGAAGAATAGTTGACAAGTATATTAGTTTTTGTGGGTGATACTTGCTGCACACTGTAGCAATAATAATATAATATCTCAGAACAATTCACACAGCGCCATCTAGTCCCAAGCTAAGCAGAGCGTGTGTTATGGGTACTAGACAACTAATACAAATATATAGATTTTTTTTCGTAAATATATACATAACATACATAGAAAACACCCAGACCGACACAAACAATCATATTCATGAATACAAATATTTGTACCGTGCGAGGAATCGAACCCGCGACCGTCGTAAGTGGTTTCCTAAACCGCCGCGCCGAGGCTGTCAGCCGATCGAAATCTATGTATCGGGGTGATGCAATAATATCCAGATATAGTACCTAAGTATCTAATACTAGATATTGCTTAGATATCTGATAGATATCATCTTATATCAAAGCAATAACGATTAGTGATCTATTTTAAGTCTTGGTATCGTTTGATACCAATGTTTGCAACATTGGTGTCTATGTATGGGTGATGACATATTCAATATCCAGATATAGAGCGGTATCTATGTACTTAGTGCTAGATATCAGTTAGATATCTGATAGATATCATCTTATATCAAAGCAATAACGATTAGTGATCTATTTTAAGTCTGATCCGGTATCGTTAGATATCACGATACATACTGCATTTCAAAGATTTCGACCATCATTATCAATACATTGATAATGAGATATGTTGTGTTAAGTATTTTATAAAATTATGACTTGATATGTAATATCTTTTAATTTTATTTTTGTTATGAAAGTTCTTGCTTTTAATTAGATACCCACAAATTATAAAAATTTACGAGTTTAAAAAATTAAAAACATAAACGTTCTTCATTTATAAGTATTAAAAAAAATTAAATTCATTTTAAATATTGCAGTTTTGTCTCTTTCTATTAAAGTAAGGAAATAACTTGAAAACAAAGACTACGACCTCGGTGGTCTAGCACACCGCTTTACGACCGATGGTCGCGTGTTCGATTCCTCGCACGGCACAAACATTTGTATTCATGAGTATGATTGTTTGTATCGGTCTGGGTGTTTTCTATGTATAATGTGTATTTATTTACAAAACAAAAATGTATGTATGTATATGTATCAGTTATCTAGTAAATTGTTCTGAGATTATTATTATTACTAGATCATTATTAATTCAAATAAACTTACATTTAAGTACTGTTGGATAGTCATTACTTATTTTTTTCATCTACCAATCATTCAGAAAGCTGTACCACAACAAGAAGA